CGGTGGTTGACTTATTTTCCTGTTTCATGCGTACTATATACCCTCCCTCCTCCCCACTCGACAGCAAAATTTTTGGGAAAAGTAGGGAAGTTTTCGGGAAATTTTGGAAAAAGTGGCAGGAAGTTGGGGAAAATCTGAAAATTGGTAGAAGGGGGGGTCGTATTGTCGCGGCTTTTCCTGTTTCGCTATTTACCCCCCCCCCTCCAAAAAAAGGAGGGGGGGTCGTACGCCTCTACTAAAATCCCTAAGCAATGATGTGCCCTGCAGCAGTCTGCTACCTCTACTTCCCGAACGCTGGTACTTGCTAGCAGACGCTAGATTGTTATCTGTACTTTCCCAGTCGCTGACGCGGCTGGACGCTCCAAACGCAAGTGGACGCAAAGTATAAACGCACCTCATTGCCATGTTGTGTCATTGTGATCATGTGACGTCTCGTCGCCAAGCAACTCGTACGGACCACTCAAATAAGCTAGTTTATCATTAGGAGACTCCGTGAGAGCGAGTAGAATGACAACGAAATTACGGCTGGATGGGTCGACTGTCACAAAAATGCAAGTCCAGTGATTTGGACGGTCTTTTCACTAGTAAGACATATACATAGTCACACTGTGGCACGTCAATGGTCGAATCTGTTCCACATGCATACTATTCGCACAGCAGGGTTCACCCATTAACCCCCTAATAGTCTGGGTACGCCATCGTTATGGTCATCGCAAGGGGGGGGTGTCGTATTTGACCGCGAGGGAGAGGGGTCGTATTTGGTCAGAGAAAAATTTTTTTCTGCATAGTCGATTTTGTGTTTCACGGATGCGTAAAAGGGGGGGGGGGGGTTCGCGGCTTGGTATTTTTGGGGAGGGGGGGGTCGCATTTAAGTCAGTTCACGATGGACGCATACTATTCTTCGATACCTGTTGAAACTGATAGCTTGATTCTGACGATCGCCGCCACCGCTCTGACAGCTCGAATGAGAAAGGACAGAGGAGCTGAGTGGGGTGTACCAACTACCAAAAAGGGGTGGGTCGGGATATTGTCGTAATGAAATTAGCGGGGGTCGTTAATTTTTTAGAAAGATGACTCCAACGATGACGTGCCCTGCTAGTAGTTTGCTCAAGTTGCAAAAGTTGAAATCGGCGGCGCGAAAACACTGATAGTGCGCTGACTGATCTGGCGTCACTATATCGATATCTATGCTTTGGCTAATGCCGTTTGGACTACCAGAAATTTCGTCTTCGAGCTCATTTTCAAATTGCCTAAGTCACCAAATCCACTAAAAACTTGTACAATAGGGGTAATTCAACATCCTATTGGCGAGTATGACACCCTCATTCTAACGCTGCCGCCAACGCGACGACACTACGATTACCTCATCGGCTGAGCTTAGGCCAAGCGCAGGTAACGGTAGCTCGTCCATTGGCGCCAGCGCCAAAAATGAATGTCATATTCGTGATCAGGATGTTGAATTACCCCTATATACAAGTTTTTAGCGGATTTGGTGATCTTGCCACTTTTAAAATGAGCTCGAAGACGAAATTTCTGGAGTCCAAACGGCATTAGCCGCCCTATGCTTTCCTAGCCGCCGGCGCTTGCGTACACTCGAAACGCTGGCGGACGCTAGCTCAAAGTAAGAACTCAACCTATGGAGAACTATTCCACGTCCTGTTGTGCTGAAAATCCAACGGTAAAACGTTCAGAAGAGATTAGCTTTCCGATGTGTTGACCATTCCAGCCGGTCAGTCGGATCAATCAAAGGCCATGGCACTCCTTACCAGTGGGTAAGATTTCCCAAATATGAACCGACACCCCGTAAACCTCGACTCTTGCCTCACGGGAGAGAAAAAGAATGGATAAACAAACAAAAACTGCCGGACCGCATTTAGCGACCCTTGCTCGCGTTGGAAAATCCTGACGATCGTGTGCTTCGATCAGAAGGTGGGTCTTAGTAATCGTACCTAATCTCAGCTACTACCTTCAAATCGTGTAAACAACAGAAAAATGAGTTTTAGGAAATTCAGATGAACTGGACATATCCTGCTTTCACTAACAATTCAATACCTCGGTACCATATTTATTAGACAACAAGACTGTAATTCTATAATATTTCTTCGATTGTTATTCATAATAAAACTTTCATGACAGTTACCACACTCCTACATCTTCACGGAATCTATTCCAAGAATATAGCATTTCAATTTTATTTCAAAGGCTACACAAATCGGGCGAAAACATTAAAGCTGCATTTATACCTTGAAGGCTTGGAGTGTTAGCGAAACGACTAGATATGTATCGAATTGTTGTTCTGATGAGGTCCACTTGTCCACGTGGCGCCAGTGGAAACTGCACCACGTGGACAAGTGGACAAGTGGAACTGCTTTGTGCGCAGTGCTAATCGCTGTTGCTCCGAATGCAGAAATGCCGCCCCCCTTTGCGACAAGCCGACCCTAACGAGAACGCGATGTCAACATTCACACTACCTGGAATTGACAATGAATATAATGCTACAGCAATCCGTACGACTCCACTTGCAATGCCCAGCTACTGCGAAGAATGGCGAGGTCTCGATGCAAAAGGCAATTGGGGTAGGGGGGGCGGGAGGGGGAGTGCACCAGAGTTAGTCCGAACGTCTAGCAATGACAGGAAGCTCCAACGTATGAAGACGTTGATGCGTGGGCACTCATACGAGCTGCTGAAGCGCAAGAGCACACAAGAATCTGCCTCTGCGCAGTGCAAAAGACGAGATTGTCCGGTCGAAAGAAACAGGACGCGGCTTCGAAGCCATTAATTTTTGTAGGCCGAAAACTAAAAGCGGCTTAGCTGTAATCGTGTCTCAGCGGTTCCATGGCTATCAAGGTAAGTTCGTATCCGCTCAGTTCTAAACAAAGCAATACCAGTAGAGCGCTTCTCTTCCTTCCATCTTTTCGGCTATTGGCGCGACCATCTGGCATCGAATCACAGCGTTACTGATTCTACCGAGTCGTGAAATGCCCCTTGACAGTTGGAGCATTCGCATCTCAATAGCGTGGAGTTGGCGCTCGGCACTTTTGGTTGCTGGCCAGCTCATTAGCCGAAGCGAGTTGAACCATGGCCCGGAATATCTTTGACTTTAGGGGAAGAAGCATGCGCCTATCACACAGCACTCCATTGATTGCTCTACATCTCCCAGCCAGCGTGTTGCTCCATTGGACATCATCATTCAACAACCGGCTTGCAGGCAATCCTCCAGACGAATCTGGTAACTATTTGTATTCGAGTCGCAAAAGACGCCCTCGCCCGATCATTTTCATTCTCATTGGCACAAAGCAGGCCTTGACGCTCTCTAGTCGTAAGCCTCTCGCTGCTACAAGTTTCGGAGTTCAGACCATCACTGGACCGCAGAATTTCTTGCATGCGACATACGTCAATCTTTGTTGACGAACTGAGCGTGATACCGTCGTTTCTATTGCATATCGATTCGAGTGGACGGTCACATGCGGAGAGGAAGACCAGAACAACGGTGACAGCACGTCATAAATGCGGACATGAGAATGGTCAACCTCCGTAAAGAAGATGCACTATATCGATGGCGACTGTCGATCCGAAGAACGGACCCTGCACAAGCGGGACGAAGAAACTGATACTAATTTACCGTCCCCAGAGGATAGAAGGCTAGGTTGGTCTGGTCAGAAGCTGGCAGGATTTAAGTCCAGGACAATACGCGTTGTAGCGTGCCACACGCCACAAAGTCACCTTCGCCCTCACGCTGATACAGACTCGAAAGTAGCAGAAATTCATCCGACCAGTAATTTAATGTTGAGCAGAGGTGCCATCGTATCAGATGAGCGAACCCTGCCATCGAGCGGATCAAATGCTAAAGAGTAAGAAGTGAAAAAGATGTGTTCATTCTGCACTCCGATTAGCCCCACAGACGACAATGGCTGTTTGGACCAAAATGTCGATACGTATCTAGCCTTGTTCGCTTGTCCTACTGTGCTCTGACGGTCCTGTGCAGCGCAAGGTTAATGAACAGGACCGAAGAGATTGTAAAACAAATAGGAGGCACACGTGTTGAATAACCCGTTCGGAGACATAAAGTAAGATAATATAGGAAACAAAACCAAGAAATTCAAGTGAACTCAAACGCATGAACATCGCAACATGTGCTCAAAATAGATATAGAGTACCGAACATAGATCCTTCCACGGAATAATTGTAATAAAGCGTTCAGACTTCGCGACGACGCGCGCCTACGCGCTACGACGCACTACCCCTGAAACAACGCTCCGGTACTATAGAAGGGAATGCATTCATAGACGGGTATAAAATCGACACCGAGCGCTAGCGTTTTTATTTCAGGTAAGAGCCCTTGTTCAAAACTTCTTATAGCATGTGTAGGGAATATAGGGTGACAGGTGGAGCTCTTTCTCTCCTGTACCCCTACAAACATGGAAGTTCAGTCGTTTGCTACTACCTTGCCGCATCTCGTCTCCGCTGGTATGGTCAGCAAAGACCTCCTGATGCTGTATCGAGCCCGCTGATATGATCGTTTTTGTCAGAAGTCCAAAAGGATGACCTAGAATGCGGTGGGAAGACGACCTGAACAGAAGTGACTGCTGCTGTCCTGCCCGCAGCCGATGCTATTTTCGGAGCCCGTTGGAAAACGTTAGTCGAAGAAGCGTACCCGACAACGGTTAGGCTAGGAAGAAGAAGATCTCTACAACATAAAACAAACTGAATGTGTATTAACAATGTGAAACTCCAAAAGTTTATTCCAAAAAACTCAAAAGACAGCAAAAGTTTCCCGAGTTTTTGGAATAAACAATGTGAAACTCCAAAAGTTTTTTGGAATAAACTTTTGGAGTTTCACATTGTTAATACACATTCAGATGAGTAATGAGACTCCGGGACAGCACCATACTCCGATAAAACAAACTGTTCGAAAAAAGCGCTCCGTGACGTAGAAGACCCATTTGGAGAACGATATCCAATATCTTGCGACTCTGATAGTTTTCCAGCTATCCAACTGCCTATTCTATCTCTTCCTTGATGGCCTTCTTGAATAGCATCAGTTCTTCTAATTCTATCAACCTTTCAGTAAGCCTTTCCACAGCAGATTCGAGCTCAGTCACCTGAATGAAGGCGATTCTCCATAACAACGAAAAGGAGGGATCAAAACGAGATGATGCTTGAAGACTCACCCTCCGATTCAGTTTCGCACAAGATGAACAGCTAAGCACTATCTCACCATGGTTGGGAGTTTCCACTGATGAGGCTTTGGAATGGTCTTCGCTAACAGTACCATCTTCACCATCTTCTTCATCGTCACAGTGAGCAGACAGTGATGATTCCTCCAGCAAAGATGCAGCAGGAATCGGTGAGTCGCCAAAATTGGGCTCGGGAGTGAAATCGGGCTTCACTTCTAACGCTCTTGTCGTCAAGTTGACAACGTTTACTTTTCCAAGAGCATTTTCGACCTCTACAGGGTTCATTCTCTCAAGAGCCTTTTTAACTTCCACAGGGTGAAAATCCCGCATATGGTCGACCAGATCTTTCTGGTCCATCCAACGATTGCAACGGATACATTTACGACTGCGCTCCTTGTGTTGAGCAGTCCTCGGCCGGACCTTCACATTTGGAGGATTCTTATTCGATGAGCTTCCATTTTCCTCGCCAACCTGTAAATAAAACTTGAAATGTGAGGTAACCCACACATATAAAAAAACTACTTTTCTGATACTGACAAAACAGGCTGAAACAGATGTAAGCTCTAAGGGTTGCAAATCACAAGTATATTGAGTTTTAATGTTATTTCGTTGCTTACCTCTTTAAAACAGCAAGAGTCCATATGCTCGTCTATAACATTTTCATTAATGAAACGTTTGCAAAATGGGCATGACCGATTGCGCTCCAGATAATTTCTCACTGGCATATCTGAGGTTACTGTTGAGCTTCCACTCTCCTGCTCAACCTGCAAGTATAACATAAATGCGTGTTGATCATTCAACACATGCGCAAGATTAAAGTACTAATATGTATAATCCTACTGTATATAAACGGCCGAGCCCGCGCGTGTTTGTCATTGTTTGTCACGAAAATTATAGCGCCGATGCGAGCAACGGTGCGACATTGATTCCAAGATGATATAGGGTGTGGGACAGGTACATTGTTGGTAGGCGATACGAAGTGACAACACTTCATAAGATTTGATAAGGGTCGGAACAGGGGTCATCAAATCCACAGAGCCGGTCCCAGCAACGGCGCGACGTTGGTTCCAGGATATGATAAAGGGCATGAGCCAGCAAAATTATCAGTGAACAAGAACTGTTCGCAGCTAAAGGTCTTGGAAAGAGAAGATTAACGTGTCGACGAACCCGACCGTGGTGTAGAGAGGAGCGCTCGGCGCCAGCTGATTAACATAATAATTTATGATAAGAATTCGTATCAAATATAATTTGCTACGTCTGTGTGCACGCCCGTCTGTCTGAATGTTGGCATTACTCGAGAAGCTACTCGCAGAGATGGAGTTAGGGGCGGGTTGGGTTCCATGCTGGTCCCGCCCACAAAGAGCGGGATGGGTAATTATCTACTAATAATTCCAAGGCACAACAGGAGCTATAGAAACTGGTTGTTGCTCAAGTGGCTGAGCTTTTGGAGGGCTCTCTGAACGAGTTCTTCGGACCTGCTCGTTTTATGCCATCGAAGGGATATTCCTGCCGCCTCTGCCTCACGAATCGTTTCTTTGCGTCATCCAATGCTAATACACTCTAACAGTGAAAAAAAACAAAAAAGACGGTGTAAAAACTGACTCGTGACGGAAAGTTGGCTTTGAGTTACAGTGTGCGGGAGAACTAGGGTGCGTCAGAACCACCACTTAGAGACACAGCGCCTTCGTAACTCACTGTGGGGGAACAAAAGGGGAACAACCCTATATAGTGAGGAGAGAGTATTTGTACGAGGTAAAGAAGTACGGTTACGAACTGCTTGAGCATACGCATCACTGCAGATACATCATGGGAAAAATGCCATGTACTGTACGACGGGAAAGGCGCCAGAGGTCGATTCCGTGGATAAACAAAATGGTACGCGCTAACACATTTGGACAGGGAGACCAGCTTCCTCATCTGTGTCTTCCCCTAACCAAGGCTTCGACTTATAAACGCACACGACCAGAGTCGCATGGGGTCACAAAGAGGACAATTTCGCTAAGCTCAAGCCTTAGAGCTGACGAGAGGCCGTAAGTACGTGAGCACTAATCCTTTCCTTTGGAATAATCACGCCGACACGACGATATGTGTTGGCTGATGCCGTGGTTCACCTCAGCGCATACCAGTTGTTCCATACAAAACTTCAGCTACATAATATTAATACGTCTAAAAAAATGAAAAAAAAATGCAACTCGTATACATCATGGCCGACTTACCTTGCACTCCTTGATCTTCTGAATTGTAGGTGTTTGTTCCACATCATGCCCAGCTTTTCTTTTCTTAGCAACCGGCATTCTTTCCGCTTCTATACAGCTTTCTTCGTCCGTGAGATAAATGCAGATTCTCCAGATTACTCTGTTATTTCCAGGGCTCACAAAAGCAAGCAAACTTTCCCGAAGAGCCGGTGGGTGACGAAGTATGATTTTGATCTATCGCCTGAAAGCACACATGTCAACTACGGAAAACTATAACAGTCTGATGAGATATTAGGCTGGAAAGAAAGCCCTATAAGTGTTTCTTGAAAGGGGGACTGTAAAGTACATAAGGGCACCTGTTCTTCCCGGGTTTAATTACGAGGTCAGTTTAACAGGGCCGCTTCGAGTGACTGTGTTCTTTGACTGGTGCCGCAGCACTGAAGCGACGGCGATTTAACAACATCGACAGTGCTTTGGGGAAGTCACCACACCATTAGAACTGCTCTCGTAATTCACTGGTTTGCTCGCTTCGCGAAAGTAGACAGGATCCTCAAAGATGAACCTCTGTCGAGAGGCCTTACGAAGTAAAAGACTCCACCATTTTCGAAGCTGTCAAGGGGGATACGGAGACAATCTCTGCAGTCTTGTAACGTGTACCGTAAACCGCCTGTAAGTCCTTGGCTATCGAAAAGTACTGGCTCGATGGATCACTCATGACCATGACGGATGGCACGCTGTGTACCTGGGTACCCCTTGGTCAGTCTCCCCTTCTCCGCCCTCGTCAGAAGGAGTTTCAAGGAGACTGCTTAGTGGAGATGAGAGATGGGTCCTCTGTTACTTCAAACCACACGTATCGTGTGCCTCTACAAAGAGAAGACCCATCCCAGCAATCCGCAGTCCGAGAAGGTTCTCCTGTGCTGCCTCGGGCGCGAAGAGAATGCTACACAATGGCTGTAACAACACGCGGTTATCGCTACCATTGGTCCCGCTAGCCCCAGAAGCACGTGGAAACTGTTGGAGAAAAATAACCGAGACAACTTTGGGGCACTTCATTCGCGAGGACGTGAGACCCCTTACTGCCATGGAGACTACCAAATAATTGAGGATCAAGGCTGGGAGACCAGACCCATCAGCATATTCTCCGATTTGCAGCCTCCCCACGTCTACAACTGTTCTTTTACTGTGCGCTTCTATGAACTCATTCGGGTAGATGCGAAAAACTTAGGGAATTGGCCTTCTGGTCTCCTATTTCTGGTCAGCGTTAGGGCGAGCCTCTATTATGAGCCTCTGCTGCAAAGAAATCTAAAGCAGGAAAAAATAATGAGAACCCACCTCTACTAGTTACATGAAAATGGCGATCATTTTTTACGTTGCTAGGGCTCTAGAAGCCTGAAATAATAACACTATCAGAGGTCACAAAGCAACAATGAAGGAAGCACACAATCACGTTGCAAAGGCGATGTTATGAACAATGAGCACACTAAACAGCACACTGAGGTACTTTCATCTTCTTATCGTTCGAAATTGAAATAGATCTTGCCTATTGGCCGTTATCCTTCCTCTGGTTTATGCGGTGCGCACTCTGCCTCACAATTTAGCACACAAAACCCAGGCCTGACACAGCACCGGTGCATCGCTATGAAGCACTGAATGTGCAACAATGGTGGCAGTTGGATGTATAGGTTAAAAAAGCAACCATAAAGGAGATCATGTAGTACGCGCTTATGACTGCAGCATAGGTAGTTCTTAACCCGTTCTCTTGCAAACCTTTTTCCGAGAACGTCAGCAAGCCGCGGTCAGGCACAGTGGCCCTAAAAAGGGGAAGGCGAAATGTCACTCATGAATGAAACCGCAGACTTTTCCCAACAGTGGAAAAACCGACAAGACGAAGCTGGTTGTGGTCCTACTGCCCCGATGTAGTAGCACGATCGTACCGCTCAAGCGATCGATTGCGAAGTCTGAATTTCGCGTCTAAAGTAGGTCGCGAGCTGAAAAGAAAAAATCATTAATCGGAAAATCGAGGGCGACTAGCCCTCTCCGCTTCCTACATAACCTTTCCACGCACGATTTATCACTGATCGAAGCTCATTAAACAAATTAGTAAGAGCTGAGCTACCGGGTGTCATAAGATGATAGACAGCCTTGGCCGTCGAACCCTGTTTAGAGCGCGGTACGCATTTACTTTCGTTCAGAATCGTAGTGGCTTATTGAATGCGATGTGGCCTTAACAATGTTTGTACGCCAGCCAATGTACAAGCCAGTGTTTTTGTCCTGCCAGACGTGTCATGTATCAACTCACCGTCCTAGGGAGGTAGATTGGCTTGGGCGGGAGCCACTTTAGGATTTGATCTTCAGGCGCGTGCGTTGGTAAGCGTGTCACCTACCATTCCGCCTCAGTCAAGTCATAGAGCCAACAAATAAAGCAGTTTTGGGAGGTACAAATCAACTGGATATAACCTGCTTTAACCAACATTTTCGAACAACTCGATTTCAGATTTATTATAAAAAAGGTACAACACATTTTGTGATTGCATAATCGTACACATTTATAAAAACAATCAAGAGAACAAAGCATTTCAGCTCTATTTCCAAGGCATAGAATTTGCGAGACAAATGAGGCCGCGCTTACAAGTTGCACCACTCAGGACAAAAGCAATCCGCGAAACAGAACCAGATACGGATCGATTCCCATGGTTAGGAAGAGCCGTAAAATCAATGAAGCGGCATTGACAACGGAAAATCTTGCGTACCTGGCTCTTTTCGCAGATTTTCCGGTGCTCTGATTGTGCTGCAGATTGTCCTCTACAGCGTAATGAATAAACGGGGTGTGGAGCATTACTTACTTGTAGCAGCATTGCGCGCACACACCACTATTTCCTAGTTAGTTGACCAGCCAGACATAGACACAGGAAGAGCTGGTCGACTTCAAAGATGCAGAGCGTCAGGAGAGTCGAGCGCGCCACAGCACTGCCTCGTTGAGTGGATTGGGCCCTGGTGCGAATGCCGCGTAAATCACCCCGCGAGACGTCTATTTCGCTGCACTTGCCGCGCGTCGGAAGTAACGCTCCACGATTGGACGAAAAAGAAAAAAGAGAGATTGCAATACAAATAGTAAACACACGTGTTGAGCACCCGTTCGAAAACGTAACATAAGAGAACTATAAAAAATTCAAGTGAACGCAAATGCATGAACATCTCAGCAAGCATTAGAAAGAGATACATAGTATCAAAGCATGGATTCAATAACCGCAAAAGTTGGCAGTGTAGACAGTTGCGGTTATAAAAATATTTTTGAACAATTATGGTTACAAATCTACATAGCATTCAATGAAACCGGCAAGAGGAGTTCTTTCAGGTAATGAGCGCCTTTTCAAAGTATTTGAGCACGCTGTAGGGAATCGTGACTGAAAGTGGAGTTCTTTTTTATAATGCGGGCTTCTGGGGAGGCCAGAAAAGGGTGTGCAATAGTTAGTTGACTCGTCCGCGTGGTTACAAAATTTCGCAACCCTGTAATTTTTATTTTCTTGCGATTCGGTGCGGAGGGCTTGGCTACCTACTTCACTGAAAAAAAAGTGGCAACGCGTTGTGCTTTTAGGGGCTTTTTTGCTGTTTTGAGGCATTTGAGCCGTCTTTGTCCAGCACAAGGCAGTATAATAGTTTTTTCTGGTAGAAATGCTCCAAGAAAAACGCATCCTAAGCCATCTTTGAACGAAATGCTTGGCCACGCCCTGCCGGCCCCGGGATATGGCGAGTACGTCTGGCCCTTTGAGTCAAAACGTGTTCACAAACACAATTTTCATCCAAACATAAGGACGTTCCCTGTAACCGAGTTCGTGGTGAAGCCGTGGAACCACAACTCTTAGACGTCCCCAGGAGCGCGCGGGTAGAACGAATGGGACTGACTCATGTATGAGTCCTCATAACATAAAACAAACAGATTCAAAAAAGCATTCTATGACCCATAAGACCCTCTTTTGAAAGTGAAGCCTGGATCTCGAGAAAACGATAACCTTCGCGAGCGCCCAACCAACTATTCTCTTTCTTCCTTGATGGATTTCTTGAACAGCAACAATTCTTCCAATTCTATCAACCTTTCGGTCAACCTTTCCACAGTAGATTCGAGTTGAGTCATCTGAATGCAGACGATTTAACACAACAACAGTAAAAGGAGGTATAAAAATGAAGTTCTCAATTGCAGACTCACTCTCTCATTCACTTTCG